ACACCACGTCTCAATCATCTAATGTATGCCGATGATAGTATATTCTTCATTGAATGCAAAGATACTACAGTGCAAGCCCTTGCAGGACTTCTGGAAAACTATACAACCTTCTTATGTCAAAAGATAAATCTACAGAAATCTTTTATCCTGATAAGTGAGAATACTCCTCCAGCAATGCAAGAATTATTACACTCTGTACTCCATATTGCAAGAGGAACTTTCCACAATAAATATCTTAGACTCTCTTTGAACTTTATTCAGAATAAAACAAGCATCTTCAATGACTTCACCACTAGAATCAGCAATAAGTTTGCAAACTAGAAGACAAGATTATACTCTCTGCTAGTTAGAGTTACCCTTGCTAAATCTACTTTGTCCTATATGTTAGTCTATCCAATGGGAGTGTTTATACTTCCAAACCAGACACTAACCAAAGTAGATGAGATCACTGGGAATTTTATTTAGAAAGGAGATGTTCAGGATCAGAAATTTCACTGGCATGTCTGGAATAAAATCACCAAATCTCAATTCCATGGTGGTCTGTGTCTAAAAGCTACCAAGGAATTAAATCAAGCTCTCTTAGCAAAGCATTCATGGAAGATCATGGTGGAACCCCAATCTCTCCTGGCAAAGTTCTTTTGTGCTAAATACTGTTTGAATGGTGTGTTCCCGCCATTAGAAGCACCGAGGACTCCTTTTTGGGGGATTTAGAAGCATATTATGGGGAGCAGAATTATTACAAGGAAATATGAGGTCAAAAATTATCTCTGGGAAAGATTCCTTTTTATCAGCAAAATGGATTCCGGGGATCCTAAATTCGATTAACAATCAGTCTGTTTTGTCAACAACAAATATTAGAGTTAATCGGTTCATCACTCCAACAGGTCAATTGCGACTTCAAGCTTCAAGGAATTTCTTCCTATATCACATTGTGACGACCGGACTAGAGCCACCCAGGTTTACCCAACTGAATGGTCTAGTTAAGGCGTCCACCTAGCTCGCGCTAAGGTTCGTTTATCAAATAATTATTAAAACCCGCAAACTTTATATTACATAAAAGTACAAAGGCAACATTATTACAAAGCTCAAACGTGAGCTTGAGTTATGTTTCTCGTCAAAAAGGGGTTATATTACACACGCGTAAACTAACACAAACTGGCTAGCGAACTATTTACATCGAACACCGTCTCACGACCGATCGTTTCATAGCTTGGCTAAATTTCCACCGCGCTCGGACCTGGGAGTGGGTTAGGGGAATAAAATGTAAAAAGGGGTGAGCGCCGAGCTCAGTGAGGTTCTCACTATACTACTACGATACTTTTAATAAAACTCTTTTGAAACGCAATATTCAAATATAAAACGATTTCACATAGAAACATTCAACAATCAACTATTTCACATTAAGCAATCAACAACAGGGTGGATACAGAGAAACCTTAGTAAGGGCCGTCAAAGAGCCTACGTGGCACAGAGACGAACTTCAAGCCAGATTTCAATAATACAATAGCGTCCATCCGGACAACACGATAACGATTCAACAATATCATAACGATTCAATAACAATTCCTCTCCAATACCTCGTAGCCACCATTGGATACTCATGAGTTCCGCGTCCATCCGGACAACACGATAAGCCTAGGTAAGCTAACCTGGCGACCAAGCCCGATGCCGGCCCGCAAGGCTTCGCCTATCAAGGCAGGGCCCAGGCTCCAAGTGAACAGAGTCCACCGAAGCAACAATCACACATTATTTCACATCAATCAATCAATTACAACAAACGATATCATTTTGTCTCAGATACAATAACACTTAGAAGTCACATAGAACACATACCCCGGGGCGATAAAGTACACCTCCGGGTCATCTAACGATATGCATTTAATATTTCAATAACATTTAAAAATGTGCTCAAGGGTGTAGTGACTTTCAAATATATATTCCCATACTCCCAGTTTTTAAAAGAATGAGAATTACTCACCGGTATTGCTAATCAGCTCAGCGTTGTTGTACACTTGATCTGCAAATGGAATTTCCGAGAATGTTAAACTACCACGTATAGAGGCCTTTACCACCTCTAACACTAATTCCTTGATGACATGACTATTAAGTAATATTAATGTCTATATATAATACTATAGTTGTAGATTTACAAATTAGAACTAGTATTATTATTATTATTATTATTATTATTATTATTATTATTATTATGACAATGAAATTCTTCTCCTCTCTAGTTGAACTCCAACAGTCCAATTCCGGTGCTTTTAATTGCATGACTATGTTTGTATATTATTCAATTTATTAGAAGCTTCTAGCTGATGGAGTTCTATATAATAATAGAAATTGATTACTAAGTAGTTTTCATGCAGTGCCTGACTTTTTCTTTAACTATATGTAATTAACTAATACTGCAATAGTGGCTAACCATCAAGACTAAATTAAGTTTGGTTTTAAACACTTCATTTTCGTTTCTTTAAGATTATTATAGGTTCTAATCCTTTGGTGGTAGATGTTATATTAGGACTTAAAACTCAAGGGTTTTAATCAATTAAAATTGTACAAGCTAAAACTAGTGCTTGCAAGTATCCTTTTTAATTATGATTGTTTTACTAAAGTTCTGTAACCTGATTGCTAAGGCTTAAAGAGGGTTAACCGGACATGTTTCTCTGAGGCTTGATTAGTTTTCAAGTTGGTTTTCATCAAATAGTTATATAGGAACATGTTCCAATTCTCTTAAGTTATATTAATCAATTTCGCACCACTTATGCTATACTACCCGAAGCTCATCGTACTTCACCCTTCTATTTTCCCTCCACAATAGCTAAGCATCATCAGAACAACCGTCATACAGTATCAAACATTCATGGAAAACCAAGAGCTTCGACACTTACAAGAGTAGCTATCGGCAACGTTCCGAAAGCGAACTTCTTAGGCCTGCGGTTCCTTTCCCCCTCGCTCTCGTTCTTTCTTTTTTTTTTTTTTTGTGTTCTCTTATCCTCTCTGGCTTCCTGATGAAAAAAAAAACCAGCTAGCTAATGTTGCTATCTTTTATAATAGGATAAATACTAGTGGCGGTGCAGCAAAACCCACACACCTTAGCTTTCGTTTTAGGCTAGCTTAGCTTCTACGTTGCTTATTCCAAAGGACTAATAAATAAGGTCATCAAGGGACACCTACTGCTTAAAATAATTCAGGTAGCTTCCCATTCTAGAATCTCATAGTTTTCTAGCATTATTTAAAAGTTTACTAATGTAGCTCACTTTTTTTGTTTTTTTGTATTTAGAATAAAATGTCATGCTAATACTTCTAGTGACCAAGTACCAAACTAAATGGTACGTGGGAAGCTTTGCTTCTAACAAGTTTACACTATTGCCCTACATAACTTACTAATTAGTAATACTAGTGGTATCCATAACATTAAATATCTTAATGATAGTACCCTAAATTATTAATCCCGTCTGTTCTTATCTAATTTATTTATTCGGTATCTCAAGATTAATCTTTAGAGGCTTAAAGTTTATTATCGCTACATAATTTAATTTAATATCGACCTATATTCTTAAATTAATTTTATTCTAGTTTTAACACACGCTAATATATTCATATATTATTTTTCACTATATTTTATTCCTTTGAATTACTAGGTGAATTTTCATTGTCTATCATGCTACTCGGGAACTATACGAAATAACAAGTAGGTTAAATCTCACAGACGTCACACACATCATCTCCATCATCAATGGAATTTTTATTGATCCAGCGAGGCATAACCAGAAGTATTGTTTGCAATGGATTCATACTGACCATGGCCAATATACAGTTAAAACGGGTTATCAGGTGATAATCAATTCACTCCTACCACAACCGGCCCCCAACCCTGCCATAGCACTGGCTGAGAAACTAGCTTGGAAAAGATTTTAGCATTCTAAAGTTCAACCAAAGCAGAAGTTCTTATTTTGGAGAGCTTTACTTAATACTCTGGCTACCCGCAAGGATTTTAGCAAGAGAAGAGTACAATTAGATACAACCTGCCCACGTTGCTTCAACACACATTTATTAAAGAGAAGAGTACAATTAGATACAACCTGCCCACGTTGCTTCAACACACATTTATTTCTCAAATGTGAAGCATCACAAGCTATCTGGGCCTTGGCTATCCCTATATTTAGTTTTATCTTTAATACCACACATGAGTCACTCTTTCAGTGGTTCATTGCCTGGTGCGCAACTCACCCATCTAAACAATAGGTTGATCTTCTCTTGTTAATCATGTGACACATCTGGCTAGATAGAAACGATCGAATTTGGAGACACCATGCTCATAACTTGGCAATCACATGGAGTCTGATCCAATCTGATGCTCGCCTTCTTTTTTAACACAATCATACAACTTCTACCAATGTAACCCGTCGGAGGCAGAGTGCAACACAGAGAATTGCTAACTCTGCTTTGATTATTTTTGGCGGCTCCTTTAGTCTTTAAACGAAGAAAGCAGCATGAGCTTAGAAAATTGTTTCGCCACACGGCATGGTTATGCAACTCAAAATGATGAGTATTAATGCTCTTACACCGCTACAAATGGAATCCAAGACATGTCTACTGGCTTTGCAGGAAGCGGCAAACTTTGGCCTGGATAGAATCCAGGTTTTCACGGATTGTGAAGTTCACATCTCCATTGGTGTAATCAGAGTCACGTGAGGTTCTTTTATTATTAGATACTTTAATTTCCTCCTTTGAAGAATGTACACGGACTAAAGTGCTAGGTGTGATGTTTTGGAGACACATAACTTAGCTTACAACCGCATGAGATTAGGGATGTTATCTTAATAATATAGGTACCCTTTCAAAAAAAAAAAAATAAAGGTTCGCTTTTCCATTTGAAAACTTGTCAAGGGAGTAATCCTAAATTTTCCAAATATACACGAACCAATTCGTAATTATCATATACATTTAAGGGAGGTCATCACTAAAGTATTATTTCCTGCCTTCCTGCATCATATATGGAAACGCGACGCAGCCCAATAAGTCGTAGTGGCTGACACGACTTCAGCACATAACCGAAAAATACAAACTTTTCTTCCCTTACTGCGCCAATTTCATATTTTTCCCAAACTCGGGCGGAGGGAAAAAGAAAAAGAGGTTAAAGTGGGCGTAAGCGTAGACTCTAAGACTCCGTACGCACCCCACGCGCACGTTAGCATTTGCGTAGGCGGGGAAATCCTCCACCGACGGAGTCGCCGGGCGTCAGCTGAAAACCCAAAAACCTAGATCACTGCGATTCGATCACCCAGAAATTTGAAAGGAGATTGATTGATTTTATCTATCTTAAATTAATCATTTAATTGTAGAAGGGCTTCCCGAATTTTTTTTTCCCTTCTTCTCTTCCTAGGACAGGATCAATTTTCCCACAGACTTTAGACGAAATGTGGGTCTTCTATTTGATCTCGTTGCCGCTAACCGTCGGCATGGTTATTTTTACATTGAGATACTTCGCCGGTCCTGACGTACCTCGTTATGTGTACTTTACGGTGGGCTATACCTGGTTCTGCTCAATTTCCATCATCATCCTTGTTCCGGCTGATATTTGGACGGTAATTTATTTTGAAAACCCTAGCTTAATCTTTGTTTAATCGTTCTTTTGTTATTTAATATTTATTTAATTAGGTTTGATTTCGCCCTAATAGGATCAGTTACTGATTACGAAGCACTTTCAAATTTCCCTAATTTAATAGCATTGTTAAGGTGTCTGTTTTGAGATTTTATTTCTCCCAGCTGGAATGTAGCAAGTAGAATTGGAAAAAATGAAAGTTTTATCTCATCCTATTACTTGGTAATCGGTTTGAACTGTGGGAATCAATGACTAAACTTAATATGAACTTGAGTGTCTAGCCTTTTCACAATGCTTACAACCGAGAAACTGTTAAGGGGTTGCAAGAATACATTCTGTTACTCTATTTGCTGGTAAATAAGCTGATTTCTAATTGGCATAGGAGGCAAGTTTGGGGTGAGAGACTTGTTCAGTTCAACCTCTGATTACTTGAATTAGTTTTCTAATGATTTCATATGTGAGTTCTAATGTTCGTATTGCGTATCCTAGGAAGAGATTTGCAGCCTGGTAAATATTCCTGAACTTGATAAGTGTAATGGACTGTTTGGAATTTCAACATTGTTGGAAATATTTGTGTGAATCTTGGATGGTTTAGGGACTAATGCATTAATGTCAGAAGAAATAATCTTGTCTAGGTGGCATCATGTACCCATCTGAACTGAGCAAATTTTGTTGCTATCAGAATTGTTCAAAAATATCCCCAGCCGTACCATTATTGATTGCTGTTAGAGGCAAACTTGATGACCTGTGTATGCTTTTGCATCAATTTGACTGATTTATGTTGGAAACAATGTTTAAATTGTATACTCCCATTAAGCATTGGGGCGTGAATATGGGTGATGCTTGCAGGGGCAGGACTTGTAGTGGATGTCATTGACAATATGTTGGCCCAGATGGTATTTCCATCTCTTGTCCATTGTTATCCACTAAATCTGTTTCAAACTCTGATTGCTTTTATTAATAACTGATTGTAGATGGATTAATGTGGGTTCTAAGGGATTTATGAGTGGTTCTGGGATAGTGTGGATACTACTTTAGTCTGGAATTTCCTTTGGGGAATTGTAGCCTAGTAAATATCCTGAACTCGATTTTTGTTATGGACAGTTTGGAATATCGCTATTGTTGGAATTTTTTGTTGGACCTTGGTTGGTTTTGCACCTACTGTTATAATGATAAAAGAAACAATATTGTCTTGGTGGATTTGGCTAGACCTGTTTTGATATCCCTTGCCATTTTCTCGGCTGCAACTGGTAGAGTCAATCTTGATTACCTGTGTATGCTTTAGAATCTATTAGACTGATTTATATCGGAAACAATATGTCATGAGGGAAAGACTTGTGTGTATGTGACTAATGTTACAATGTGGGATCATGTGAACAATTTAGTGAATGCCTTTAGTGTGTAAAAATATTCTACTAATTCTTTTGTCATATGTTTCTTTTCTCGATTATTTATTACAGCCTCTAATTGATGAACTGGTGATGGTATTTGTATTTTCTGTTTTATATGTTCATCATTCTGAAACTGTTTCATACCCTTCAGTAGTTTGTGAGAAATTGTTCCTAGCTCGTTTCTTTATCTTTTTCATTACTGATTTGGGGTTTTCAATTCTTTGATGTACCATGAATCAGAAACGTCTTCTGTTTTCCTATTAAATTTTGATATATCTTTGTGCCTATTATTGTGGTGCAGACAATTATTGGTCAAGATAATGGAGGAATATCTTTCTTCTGGAGTTGGTCCTATTGGAGTACGTTCTTACTCACATGGTATGCATATCTGCAGCAGTAGAGTTATTTCTTAAGTTTTTACTCTTCTGTAACACCTTAGTCAGCCAAAGATTGCTGAAGTTGATGTGGACTTATAATGTTTATTTATGCTACGTGACTTAGGAATGCATGTGTTAGCCAAGTCAATATGCTCTACAAAACCTCTAATCTAACGTTTGAAATAATAATCTTGCTCTTTGCACCTAAAAGTTTTGAACTTGTTTAACTAATTGTTACCAGGATTCTCAGATAATGTCTCAGTTGATCAGGACCTGAGGTGGATTGCCATCTTTGACTTAAATATATCTACAATCCAATTCCCCTTTAAAAAATCAATTGTTGTATGTGTATGTTGTCATAACTGGAGCAAAAAAATAAAAGATAAAAATTCCTATTGATTCTTTTCAATTGTATTCAGCTATAGAATTGTTAACTCTTTGTTATTCCTTGGTCTGACTGGATGGTGCCTTGTTCTTTCTCTTATCAGGGTAGTGGTGCCCCTAATTCAGGGTTTTGAAGATGCTGGAGATTTTACTGTGGTGGAAAGATTCAGGACAAGCATTCATGTCAACCTAGTATTCTATTTAATTCTGGGGGCCATTGGTTTGATAGGAATTATTCTCCTTGTTACCATGAGCAAACATTGGTTGGTTACTTCTTCCTCGGCATCTGATTACATTTTAATTTCATTCTTGCTGCATATCATATGTCCTGTTTCTTAATGACTTAAGTTAAACTTCTTAAGAAGGGTTAATGGCAATAATACTGTTTGCTTCATCGTTTGAATTTCTACTATCGTGTTAGTTATTTCTTAAATTTTACATTGTTTGCTTGTGTTTCAATAGTTTATGACCTTTTTGCCTACCCCTTGAAAGCTAATGGTAGTCATGGTTTCAAGTGTACCATGAGATGGGTGTAGCAACTTCATACTTTCTTAAGAAGTTTCTTATATGGGTTTTTCTTACTATTCGTAGTGGTTAGCTTCTCAGATGCTGTAATTATCTTCGTTTAGTGGTTATTATGTTTCTTGATCAGACTCCGTGTCCTGGTCTTTTTAAGTAAATTATGGTACTTGCTAAACATTTCATTGCTTCATATCTCATGGATACTATTTTCATGGACAGGAACAGAGATATAGTAGGTTTTGCCATGGCATGCTCAAATACATTTGGACTGGTGACTGGCGCATTTCTTCTTGGCTTTGGTTTGAGTGAGATACCAAAAACTATTTGGAGAAATGCCGATTGGACCACTCGTCAAAAGGTTCTTTCACATAAAATAGCAAAAATGGCAGTCAAACTTGATGACGCTCATCAGGAGTTATCAAATGCTATTGTTGTAAGTATTTTAGTATCAACTCAAAATTGACAGTAATAGCAAAGAATAATCTCTACAGCTCTTTGATTCAGTAGCTTGGATGAATGTTCATATGATCAATTTTCTTGAATATCCTGCAATTTATTTTGGGATTCCAATGCAGTTTCACTGTTACATGGTTTGTGTATCCTGTCAAAAGTACTGCAAAATACTTGAGGCTACTGTGTACTTTCTCATTAGTAGTTGAGGATGGATTTAGTATTTATCTTTAATCTATGTGCATGAAAACAAACGTGTGTCTGCATGGCAGCCATTTCTCAAAGCAATTTATGGCATTCACCTAAATTTGATGAAAAAGATCTCCTAGTTTTCCCTTTGAACCCAGCCACATCAAAACATGGTGACTCTCTTTATTGGTTGACGTGTTTTTTAAAAAATCCCTTTTAAAGAGATCTCTGGAGGGATTGTCTTTCGTCAACAGACTTATCAATTTCATTATTGGTCACATACTGACTCTCTTTATTGGTTGACGTGTTTTAGATTGCTCAAGCCACATCAAAGCAAATGTCGAAACGTGATCCACTTAGACGTTACATGGATGTCATTGACAATATGCTAGCCCAGATGGTATTTCATCTCTTCTCCATTGCCGCCAGCTAAACTCTTTCTTCTTGTCAGTTCTTTCCGTGCTTAAAGTGAGTCTTGACTAATGCCAGTTTAGAGAAGACCCATCATTCAAACCACAAGGAGGTCGATTGGGAGAGAATGACATGGATTATGACACAGATGAGAAATCAATGGCAACCCTTAGGCGTCATCTTCGTGGAGCTAAAGAGGAGTACTATCGATGCAAAAGGTAATGTAACAGTTGTTCGTTTTTTCCTTCTTTAATTGATCAATGACCAGCTCTGTCAGATTCTTTTGCTTTTCTTCTTTCTGTTAAGACTGTGGTTATTGATGATTTCTTGGTATTGAATGAGAGAACAAATTTGACAAGAATTCCCTAGAAAACAATATGAAGATTTGATAACCCTCACTGGATTGCCTGAGCTCCTAGCTGATTCGGTTATAATATTGCAAATACCAGAAACCTGGTTCCTATAAAAGTTATGTCATTGAGTAGACTCCAAGGATATCCTTAATTGAATCATTGTTTGATTATTTTGATTTTTGTTTTGCAGCGAGTATATGAATTATGTCCTGAAGGCTCTCGAATTGGAAGATACTATAAAGAATTACGAGCGTCGCAGTACTACTGGATGGTTTGTGCTCTTTTTCCTAGTCTAATCATTGACCGAATATGATTACAAATTTGAGCTATGACATGTTTCAGTACCTGAACACTTCTAGTTTACTTTCTCACATACACCATGATGCCTATGAGGGACATACACAAATTATCGGCTAGTGTTATGTGCACGCTAGATATACGTTCATGTTTGGTAACTTGAACGGATATCTGTGGTTGTGCTTGTGATTTTATGTTTCTGTCATAACTGTGGTTTTGCTAGCGAATTATGTTTCTGTCATGTAGATGCCACCTACAAATGTATAAGTGCTTCTCAAAATTCATACTCCATATTTCTGTATCACTAGTTACAACTGTGTTATGTACTGCTTTCCTTTTCTGTTCATGGTATTACTATGCTAGTTGCTAAACTATTCAAACTAATTTGGAAAAAACTGTTCGATGTTTATCTTTAAACCTTGACTATCTGTTGGTCAAAGCTCTCACTTATGTTATGGTGGTGTGGTTGGTCTAACATAGATCCTTTGGCCATCGTCGCCATCATTTTTCCTTTCAGATAACAAATTCTTTCTGTTACTGACATGTTTCCATGATATTGTAGGAAGTACATCTCCAGCCTTAGATCTGAGCGAACTGGGACTTATGGGTCCTTTCTGGATATGGCTGGTAATTTTGAAGTTGACTCTTTCTTATTTCGTTGTCACCTTGTTTTCCAAGTTTTTTAAAGAGTAGCCGTTAGTAGAGTGACTTTTGACCTTTTGATTGGCAGCATTGAATTTAATATTCCAACTGGTTTACATTTGAATATCTCAGGTTTTGATTGAAGTATGATGTAATTTTATGTTTTCAAAACCATATGGTGGGATGCCTCTGTATTATTCACCAAGACGAGGGATTCTTAGGAGTCACTAGTAACGCAACTCCTGTGCAGTTAGGGGAGTAAAAATAACTTAAAGCTATTTAAAGAGGCCATCGGCATGTAGCTGAAAATTGAGAAGGAAAAATTAATTTATTTAATGAATGTTGTTGAATAAGGGATTCACCATTATTTGTAATAGTGGAGGGTACAAGTAATGGGAAAAGCTTGTACTCCCTTCGGTCCTTATTATAAGGCATTTTGATTTCGTCCTAGGTTTAACCTAGGATGTCTTTTTAATTGGTAAAAAAACCTTAAAAATATATTCTCACATTCGTTGTGTTCTCCTCATTATTATGAAATGTTTTTAAGGTTTTTATTTGAATTAAAAAGACATCCTAGATTAAACCTAGGACGAACTCAAAATGCCTTATAATAAGGACCGGAGGGAGTACCTTGTTAATGTACATGACTAGTGACCTTTGCTGTTCTTTAAAACTCTTCAATTGTTACAGAATTGATGTGGCGTTGCATACTTCGGAAGCAATTTCAGAAAATTTTGGCTGTTATTCTTGGTTGCATGTCGGCTGCTATTCTTTTCGCAGAGGCTACCATGTTAATTGGAGGGGTTGATTTATCCCTGTTTTCAATTCTCATAAAATCTGTTGGAAAAGAAGAGGTTCTTGTGCAGGTATACAATACTTTTGTGTGTTTCTTCTTCTTCTTCTTTTTTCAATCTTATTAGTGAAGTAGTAAAGCTCTGGTACTAGATAGGATTGCTTTCTGCATCTTAGTTCAAGTATGGAAGTTTAGGATTGGAATTGATGAACCTTTTTGTTGCCTGCATTTTGTTGACTCTATAATTTAATTGACATGTATCTGTGCCGGTGTTATTGTGCTCTTGACATATGTTAGGCATATGCTCAATTGGCTCTCATCTGCGGAAATGTTTTTGCCATACATTTCCCGCATCAATGTGGTTTACTTTTGTATTATTCTCACATTTCCCCGCTGCATTTTTTAGTTTGCAAGCATCATATTTCTATGGTCTAATAATGACTTCTTCTTATGCCTCAGGTTCTTGCATTTGTTCCTCTGATGTATATGTGTGTTTGCACATACTATTCACTTTTTAAAGTTGGAATGCTGATGTTCTATTCATTTACTCCTAGGCAAACTAGTTCCGTCAGTTTGCTAATGATATGCTCGTAAGTTTTCCCTGGAAATTTCTAGCTTTTGATGTAATCTTAAGGCACGTTTGGAGATAGGATTTCCTTACATGCTATATTTGTTCAACAGGATGGTGGCCAGGTACGCGCCACCCATTTCATACAACTTTCTTAATCTCATAAGTCTTGAAGGGCACAAAAAGACAATTTTTGAGACGGTGAGATTCTACCCATCAGATATTTTTAACCTCTTTCTTGGTGTTTGGTTGGCTTGTTTACCACATTGACATCCAGAATTCCATCTTGTACGGCTCTGTTGCTTGATCTTTATTCTCTGGTTGTTTCAATTTCCGAAATCTAACTAAAATTAGGAATATAGACATCTATAGGCAGACACATTTTTAAACATGTATGATGATTCACTGCCTGCTGTTTTATCTTTGGAGCATGAATAAGAAGCTTGTCTGAAAGAAGTCGACTTGTTTTGCAGCGAATGGGAACTATTGATCGCGCTGTACCTTTTTTTGGCGATGGATTCAACAAAATCTATCCTCTTATCATGGTTATATTTACAGTCTTGGTTGCTAGCAATTTCTTCAATCGTATTATCAATTTCTTTGGGAACTGGAAAAGACTTATGCTTCAGACTGAGGAAGAGGACATGGATGGTTTTGACCCCTCAGGGCTGCTTATATTGCAAAGAGGTGAGTTGTGGCCTGTGGGTATGCATGGCTGTTTTATTGTTTTTTTTTGTCTGTTGTTTCTTTTCAATTTGATAGCTTGCATTATCTATAAGTTTCTCCCTCTCTCTCTGAGCACCCACAATGGATTCATCTTCCTCCTCTCATTATTATTCTAGAAATTGCTTGTTCATTCCAATCAAACATTCCATTTCTACAGAACGAACTTGGCTGGAACAAGGGCGCAAAGTCGGGGAACATGTTATTCCATTGGCGAGGAATTTCAATGGTGTGCCCGTGGATCTAGAGTCTGGTGGACAGGACAGAGTATGCTTTCTCTCTTGGCAATGGAATTTTTTATTCATTTATTTCTACCAACTGATAACTATCAGTACATTCGACCTATAGTTGCATGAAATTTACTTGCACATCTACTTTCAGGATGGGGACATGATTGAAATGCGGATGTCTTCTGATCCCAGTGAGGTGGATCAGAAAGGAACGTCATCAAAGCCATCGAAAGATAACCGAAGATACTCAGGGACTAAAGAAGCAATTAGCAGCAAATATAGTGCTTTTCGGGAGCAGAGCAAGCTGGCTTCCACCCAAAAACCGGCTGAGAACATTGCATCTGCTAAAGTCTCTTTACTTAATGAAGGAAGCTCTGAGTCTGGTGGCTCAAGTGCAGTTCAGTCTGGTTTAGCCTCCAGATGGGCATCAATGAAGGCTGGTTTTCAAACTTTCAAGACAAACATGGAAGCCAAAAGATTTATGCCTTTACGGCAAGTACAGGACACTCCAATTTTATCTAGAGGATCCTCCTCAGAATCCCTGGACGAGATATTTCAAAGATTGAAGCGACCTTCGGAACACGAACATCATAGTTATGAAGATGAAGACGATGAAATGGGCATCAGACCTACCCGATAATGTTGTCAACATATATAGTATACTTGACCATTCGTGTTGTAAAAATGAAGAATCGAGGGGAAACCGGGTAACAATGTACAGCAGTACAGGTCAGAGAATTTGTCCCAGTTTCTTATATGTATTCTTGCATTTCATACGAGATATAACAGCAGTACAGTGATGTATTTTAGGTGAGGCTTGAAGTTAAAGTTAAGCCCACGTTAATGTATCATTTGATGATGAAATTTTGGAAAGGTATAACGTTAGTGGCATTACTACTTTCATTCTGTAGAGGTCTTTAGTTTCTCCTTTTTAATTTGTAATAATTCTAACAGTAATATTGGAGTTCTCTAAGAGATTTGACTGTAAAATTTACAGACTGGAATCTGGAGAGAAAAGTTTAAAAAAGTTCTTTTTCTTTTTTTTTTTTTGAAAACCAAAGAAGTTTAAGATGAGCATAATAACACATAAATGCACTTAACAAACGAAAAGCGTTCTTGATTTTACCCCTCAGGAGTCATGAATATTAGTACTTAATTTCTTGATTAGGCAAACAGATATTACTCCTGCCGTCCCAAAGTAAAAGTTTTGTCTCTGAAACTAAAATTTTCTCAGTACAGACAACACGATCTAAAACAACGGTGGGAGTGTTTTGATAAGCTAACAGATAACTGGATCTAGGATAATGCTTTATTGTGCATTGTGAAGATTTATTTTAACCCACCCCCAAAAAAAAAAAAGATGATCATAGTAAATTTATAACCAAAAAAAATTAAAATTTCGGGTGTTGGGTGTGCTCGGGCTTCTCCGGGCCACGATACTACATCCGCCCCTGTATACGTGTGGAATGGGGTGCAGGGAAATTCTAATGGCAGACTACCAACGATGGAGGGCTAATTCTGACGATGAGATGAGAACTGAAAGCGACGTTAACAAGGTAACCTCAACATTTAAGAAGGCGTTGATTTTGCCTAAGTATAACAGCTGAGCTAAGCCACACGGTTTACTGTACTATAACATGCGTACAACATTTTCAAAGAAGGAAAAAAAAAATATAAATATTTTTCCGTTCCATAAATCAGTATCATCTACAAATTGTAATTTGAATTATTTTTATAAGATTGAAGGAGTATTAATACTTTCCTTCTCTTGTATAATGATTGTCTCGAAATATTTTGGGACGGAAAGTATTACATTCTCATTCTGTCTAAAAAAAAAAAAAAAAAATTCATATTAAAAACACTGTAAATTTTAAAATTCATACGTATTATTTTTTGAGATAAAGTTGTATATAAAAGGCCAAGCAGATAAATTGATTTGGATGCCCTCATGATCAGTCAGCGTATGTGGTCTAAAAAGAAACCTTTGAAACTAAAATTGTAAAAATGTTAAAGACTCGTGGATTTATGTTCCGTTTCTTATTAGCCTTCAGTAGGGTCCAGAACAGTATTTTGTGCCAGCTGCATGCTAGCTTGGAAGTAGTTCTTTTTCTTGTTTTGGATATAGGACGAATGGAGTATGATAATATTAAAGTTTTAGTTAGTTCAAAAATTACATACTAAGGAAAATTCAAAGTACACCTATATATATATATATATCTGAAAACTCATAATTTGTAGTATGTTTTTTATTTTAATTTGCAGCAAGTGATTCGTCTCTGTTCAATAAAATTCAGCTAATATGTATGAATAAACGTACGTAGCAGCTGTATATCGGTTTTTTTTTGAATTATTATTTTGGTTGGACTAATAATTGTCTTTTTCATGTTTGTTATCACGATTGAGTTTCAATAAACACGTTATATAAATTATGGTAAAAAAAAAAATCAAACTTCAACTTGCCAAATTCAAAAGCCATACTTGACTCCATGTTGATGAACTAGTTCCATTTCTTGGCCGTCTAAATCGTCCGTGATGATGTACGTTTGGACAGGGATGTGCCCGCATTATGAAATTCAACATTTGACGATTGAAAAACCTGTTGACCCGTAAACTTTAATAGTTCATTCTGTTGTACTGTTAGGAAAAAAAAAAACAGGAACTTCGCCGGGGAGAAGATGATATATATATATATATATATAGATATATGTGGACCTTTTATATCAAAAGATTCAAAACAATAGGCAAAAATGTGTTTTCCATATCCATATATAATCGATCTCATTATTAATGAAAAAAGTAAAATTACAAATGATTGAGATCAATGCATACATCTCATCCAAGATTCTTGATCCTTTTTTTATTTTTTATTTTTTATACTAGGAAATGGATGATTGTAATTTGGGAAGATGGATATACAGACAGAGAAAATCCTCGATCCAATTTCTAATATCACCTTAATGTACAAATAGAATTGGAATCCTTTCAATGATACATTACCTTACAAAAACTTTTCCACAAGAAATAATTAAGCTAAGGGGAGTTTTTAAGTGAATATATCACCATTCTTCCTCAGCTAACCCCAACCCCCAAAAAAAAAAAAGAAAAAACTTTAAAAAGTAAAATTAAGAAAAAGGTAGCTATCCTAGCATTTGATCTTGTGGCTGAATTCTCTTCTATTTTCCGGCCACCACTCTGAATCCGGCTATAACACTTCATAATTCCGATGTATTTTCTTCTTTCACAATCTTGGCATGGACATGAGGAGATCCTTTAGTACTCTTGGAACTACTGGACCGAAGCAGCAGCTTAGACCAAAACCCTTCTTTTTTCTTGCCATCAAAACCATCATTATTATTGTTGTTGTTGTTGTTACCATTATGTTTTCTCCCTCTCCTTCTGGTAACATGGGTGATGGATTTGCTCTTCCTCATCATCCCATTAGTACCATTGTTTTTCCCATGATGAACTATAAAATGGAACCCCAACGATGAAATCTTCCGATGATGGCGATTGTTCTTATGATCATGATGCTTGTTATTATTATTAGGGGAAGCACAAGTGGATGAAGATGTTGAAGAGGAGTTGAAAGCCGGTGATGAAGAGTGTGAAGACGAAGAACGTGAAGGAGGAATGTTGAAAGTGAAGCTTGGTAACTTTGACAATCTCTCATTCAAACAGGACACGCAAAACCCTGGTTGTTGCCTTTGATCCGGGTGCTTTCTGCACATGATTTCGGGTTCGTACCATGCCATCTTTTTTCTTTCTTTTTTTTTTTAAATGTTTGATTCTTAGATACAAGAAGAAGAAGAAGAGGAAACGATGATGTGTTTTTATGAAAGCAAGTGAGATGGAAGAAAGTTAAGAAAAAGGAAGGAATTAGTGAAGAGTATTTATATTAGCTAGGCTTACGGGACGCTCTATTTTGATTGGACAAGCTAAGTTACCAAATATGGTCCTTATTTTCACAAGTTTGATTCATTTCTGTCCCAATATTGTAATGTTTTTAATTCAGCCCATAAACTTTCTCCTAATTAAGATAATAGATGAGGTTTGTTGGTTTTTTTTTTTTTTTTTTTTTTTACTTTCTGATAACGTGATATATATGAACTTATCTAACTTGAATCTGAATTAGTTGAGACAGTGATTTTGGATATCAAGTACACAATATATACTTCAAAAATGCATACTACAACCTAAATCAAAATTCTAGTATTGTCATTCTCGTTGGAAAGACTCAGCAAAAAAACATTTAAAACTTTCTGAGCTTATGTAAGAACTATTTCCTCTGGCTTTGATGCTGTAAATATGATATGGTCAAAGAGAGATGCAGTGATGCAAAAACCTAGCTAGAGGTTGAATCAAACTCTTGTCAATACACAAACAAGACCGATCCAATTTCTAAATCGAGGGACTACTATTATAATTCTTAGAGATTTAATTAGATAAACACCAAGATTATTAAGAAAAACGAGAGACGTGTTTCCACGAATATACGCTGGGATAGTTGTGGCTACATTGAATTTGCTAGAACGACTCGTAAGAAAATTATAAAAATTAAGGACATTATAAAGGCCACGTGTGGCAGCCGGCAATTTTGTCCAAATCCACGAACTAGACAAAACCCTCCAAAACCCCTCTCATCGTGTACTGTTAGTTCGTGATGTAAGTGATTTGGAATTTCAATGGACGCCTGCCAAATGGGACATTGTTTTCCTATTTTTTAATGGGAATATTATTTTGTGATATATATACCTATCAAAACATAAGTTTTGAATGGTTGAAGGGATGTGACATTTTTGGAATTCGGTTGACCATGCAAAATATATACCGTCTTTCTTAACAACAAAGTATAAGTCAAAGAAACCAAAAAAAAAAAAAAAAAAAAAAATCATCCCCAAAACATGATGAAACATGATGTAATAGGAGTTGGTTATCTCCGAGTCGAAACTAGGCTTCATGCCTCCTTCTTTGTAATCGAAAAAAAAAAAAGAAAAGATGAAACAAAATAAGATCGCTGTTCTTAAAATAATGTTTCTATTTGTCAAGATAGAGTACGTTTCTTATAGTGTAACTTCCCTTAGTTCAAGAATTTGAACTAAATTGTATCAAATTTCTCTCTAAAAAAAATTGTCACAATTTTATTCGTCCTCGTAAAGCATGCGGTCATTGACTGGATTTTTCAAGTTGGTCAATATTGAAGATTGACAACAATTACTGCTAAAAATGTGTAGATATTTCATTCTCTAGCTAATATATCTTGTGATTATGATTATGACTTACAACTACTTTCTACTTCTCTATAGTTTGTTTTTCCTAAACAGTACGAAGGGGGCCAACGGTTTTGCCTTAATTTTTTCTCCCCGTGACATGATGGCCCCTATCATCTCTAGAATCTCCAAACATGCACGCTTTTAAGTCCATTTTGTGCTTCTTTGGTGTGCTCTACCTCACGACCAAATACAAATATATATATATATATATATATATATATATAGCATTATGTGACCATGATTTCTTGCGTCCCGTATCTAGACACAAACAATCAATCTTTGTCTCCCTCTCCATATTCATATTTTCAGTTCGTTATAATTAAGTAAAAACAAAATTTCTTTACTTCCTTCGAGCCGAAATTATAGTCAAGTTTAGGGTTTCACTTTTATTGTCCAGTTTTATATTAAAAGTGAAACAATAATTTTGGGATGAAGGGAGTATTAAAATACATTAAAATCTTCTTTAATGAACACTACCTAGCTAAGATCATTTGAAATTATCGTAATCTCCCACAAAAATGTTACATGTACATATCTCCTAAAGCTCACAACCACGGAAATCTTGATTTGCTAATTACTTCAGTTTAACTTTGTTTTTGTCTTTCATATACATATTGATTAACCATTAGGTTCCCCATGTACATATTTCCTAAGGCTCGAAATTTTTTAATGTGTAAGGACAAAGTGTGTATGGGCGTGTGTTTGTGTGTGTGTGTGTGTGTGTTTTCTAATCACTTCATAATTGACTTAATTAATCAAATCCAAGGGCGTGTGAGATGTTTGGGGAAAAAGTACATGAACCCTAACAAAAATTATCTCACATTGTGCTTCACGGGGGTTTGTCCTGTTAACCATCAACATTAGAAATGCTCGTTGCTAAATGGTGTGTTGGTTTTATTGTGACAACAAATTTTATTATCTTTAAAGCAATAAATCATATACTATTTAATCGGCTAGTTGGAAACTTCTATTATTATTTAGACTATAAAAGTAATTGAGTGAGCAAGGGAGAACCTAAGGGGATCACATTTACTCGGGGATGGCAAAACTTGTTTGGTCATAGATAAAGCGCAATGCAGATGATCAGTTATTGAACACAAAAAGGAAAATAGAGAAATTGTAAATGCCATTTAATTAATGATTCAACGGGTGAAAAAGAATAGTGACTAATGAAAAGATGAAATAGTCAATTTATACTCTTAATAAAATTCACTAACAAAGGATAATTTAATAAATACATACATCCGATGCATCATTCACTATCCTATTGCACTATTTACTTTTGTGGTACACAACATTTTCCTTAGTTAATACACTTATATATCAACATTTATTCAAAGGAAATGAATAGAAAGTAAACTAAAAATGTACATGTCTGACATTGAAAATTTTTAATTTATTGTTAACTAGCAATTTTTTTCCCCTTTCCCACTCCATCTCCTTAATTTCATACTGAAAATGTTGCATAAGCTTAGGTATAGAGTTCACGTAGGAAGATAAGAAAAATGAATTTTTTTTTTTTTTGATCAAATTTCGAAGTACTCTTAGAATGCCAAAATTGGAGAAATATAAAATTGAGTAGGGTACAGCAGATCATTTATGTCTGGACTTATCGTTGGAACTTTGGGCCATTTAAAGGTGGATTATTGAAAGTTTTAAATCTTAAATTTGGACTTCTTCTTCTTCAGTAATACTAAGCATAGCCCACTTAATGCTAGTGAAACTCATTTTTTTACGCTTTTACTCTTATTTGAACAAGTATAAATATTAATCTCTTTTTATCATTTTAAAATCTATAACCTTCTAATCTTTATTAATATTTAACTCTTTAAGTATTTCTTTGAAGAAATGATGGCAAATCGGTGAATTTGTACATGATGTTTTTATGTCAGTCCACGGAAGATGGGCTAACAAAAGGGGAGCTCAGCTCAACATGACCCCCAACCAAATTGCAGGCCATAAACTTTCAGAGGCCCGGAAGAGTCCTAGTAGTACTCAAAAAACACACAATTTAGAAAAATCTTTGGGAAAAACGGCCTGTATGGATGGTTTTGGTTTGATTCCAATTTTGAGAAATACTTTTTTGAAAAAAAAACGTAGGGGCTGTGAGAGTTTAATTTTCTACTATATTTCTAATACAAAGTAAATAAACATATATCCAAAACAAAACCAGAAAAAGAGGTTGTCTATCAAGACATCTGATGTTGCCAACAGGGACATGGTTGTTTATTGAGCTAAACAAATTTTATACTCTTTCTATCTCAGAACAATTATCTAATTTAATTTTTTTTCAATAAATATTGCATTACAAATAAAGATCTAAAATTGGTAATTATTTTATGAGAGGGATCTTTACAGCACGGTAAATGTAATATTGTGTCCAACAAGAGAAAAGACCACAGGTCCTTTCTGAGCACCATATATGGACCATGGTCCTAAAATTTTATGGAAACAGAAACAATCAATAGTACTACTGATCCTGATATGATATCCTCCTATTCAACTCAGAAGGGACCTTCAAACTGATCAGCTTTTGTGTTACAACAAAACTGATGATGATTTTTTCCATTTTATTTTATTGTTATTATTATTATTTTTTCGAGTTTTTTTTTCCTTCATATCACTTCAAAATTTGGTCGCAACGTTCGAGAAATTAAGAAAAAAAAAAAAGAGATATCCAGATATTATATGTTGTGTTCTTACCTACAAACGCATCTAGATATGCCGCATGCATGCAGTCCCAGTGTTGCCGTGATCAAGTGCCAGAGTGCCACGAATCCACAACTCTAATTCTCGCACGGGGATATATTGTACTGCTTCAGAAACTAATTATTGGTGTCCACTTATATTAATTGCTTTTCAATTGTGATGATATGAATTGGAATGAAATACTCCCTCTGTCACATAATTATTGTCCAGTTTAGATTCTCATTTTTAGTTCAAATTGTACTAAAAGTGAAATCTCATATTGGACAATAATTTTAGAATAGAGGGAGTACAAGGTTATTGTTTTCGGTGGACATCCAAATAATGGTTGAAAGAAAGGTGACATTTTGGAATTTGGGTGGACCGTTGTTGCAACATTAAGGCAGGCTTCCATTAACAACATAATCTATATGCCAAAGAAACAATAACTTGTGGTCTTTAACTTTTGTCGTTTGATATTTGCATTTCACGATTCTAAATGGTAAGTGTTACAAACATAAAAATGAATTTACGACCTTTTTCTCTCTTTATTTTTTGTGGTACAAAGGCAGCAGATAAAGGTATAAAAAGAAAATTAAATTACGTTCGAACGCGGATAAGAAACACCGATGCTGTCATGTTTGAACCTCCACATGGGGCAGATCCAAAACATGCAAGTCAGCAGGACTAACTGCTACTAATGACGCCAATAAATTAGTCGCGAAATTAATCTCTCTATAAAAATGTTTTACCTCGAAGCCAATCCTTCCATGGTAACTACCAAATTGCTCTGATCAAGTATTCCTACTGGATCATCACAAGTCGAAACCATGTTGACAACACTTTCATTATGTATCAACCTCGGCCATGACTTTTCCTAAATCCAACCTCCCAAGCAAACTGCAAACCTTTAAACAACTCCCATAATTCTGTCCTAATAATTGTACAGAATCCCCAAACATCTTAAAACTCTTACTAGGGTTTTTTAGTAAACTCAAACGTCACTCTCTATCTAGTAATCTACTAACTAATTAATTTAATGAAATTCCGTAAAATATAGGCATCGATCCACTGTCCTATCAAAATAGAATAA